GGCGAGCTGCGACCGAACCATACACCCCCCCAGGGCAACATCCATCGTGGGAGTGTCATATTGGGCTGTTGTTCGGCTTGGGCGTGCTGCATGTTTTAAGACGTGGCGCGGCACAATTGACGCCCGTTTGGTGCCCCCTCTCCCCGCCCCCAGAGCGCCCCACTGATGCCCTGTTCCGAGTGTCCTAGGTGATGCGCGCGGCGGCCTATACAAATATAGGTTTAAGCGGCTGCCGCGGTTCCCGTCTTGGAGCCAGCTGCGGGCGTTCCTGAAGCCCTGGTTGGGCCTCGTTCGCGCAGCTAGGGGGCGGCATTGCGCCCCCCCGCCCAGAACCAGCTGGGGGTTTTCATCGTGATAGAGCTGTTCGTGACACGTGTGGCTTTGCATCGGGTCGTGCGTGCTCGAATGGTTCGCGACGCGGTTTGCGTGATTATGTCGGGTGCAACCCGCAATCTCAAAACCCATGCTACGCAAATTAAATGTGGTTTCCGTGTTTTATGTTGGCGCTGACACATGACATGATTACTCAAGCGCGCCCATACATGCACGCATGTGTGTACATGACCGTACTGGCGAGCTACATTTATCATGGTGCGCATTTGCACGCACGTGATTCATGATATGTGCGTTGGGCTGTCCTGGCCACTCTGACACGGGCCATCCTAACATTGCTTCCATACCCTCGTTTGCGAGGGCTGGAGGTGGCGGGCGCACGGCGCGCGGACGCATTGCCTGCTGGCGGAGATAGGCCACCCAACCTAACTGGCCCAAGGGAAAGGAACTTGTCCTGGCCCAAGGGACATGTATATGTCCTGGGCCTACACGACACGGACGGTCGAAGGACCTGCACAGGGCGGCGCGGCGCTGAGGCGATTCGGACGAGACGGGGGCGCCAAGGGACGATGACCGCCGCTGGCGGAGAGCGCGCTGAGGTTGCCCTGGGGCCCCTACGGCGAGCGGAAACGCGCGTGGAAGAAAGACCGACGGGGGGAGGGACACGCCCGAGATGCACTTCTTCCTCTTCCGGGAGCACGTCCCAAGTCAGAATATCACATTCCCGGGGCGCACTTTCTTCGAGCGGGCACACAAAGGATGCACTTCCTCCTCCTCCTCCTCCTCTTCCTCCTCTTCCTCCTCCTCCACCTCCTCATCCTCCTCCTCCTCCTCCTCCTCCTGCTCCTCCTCCTTCTCCTCCTCCTCCTCCTCCTCATCCTCCGTTTCCTCCCTTCACTCCTAGCCCTTTCGATCAGGGTCGGCGGCACCGGCCGTCAGGCCTCTCCAATATGGAAACGTTTCGAGACACCTGGATTGGTCGATGGGCAATAGCAATGATGAGTCCATCGATGGTGATGGCACCGTGCCAGAAGCTGCGCTGCGCTGTGCCGTGCTGCGAAATGCTGGACGAAACGAAACGCGAAACAGCCCACGAAACGCCCTACGAAGCACCCCGCGGCACACACCCCGAGAAACACTCAACGAAGCACGCTAGGAAACACTCGACGAAACACCCAACGAACAGCCACGAAACACCCTACGAATCACCAAACGAAACACCCCACGAAACACTCCACGAAACATCCCACGAACCACCCCACGAAATAGACGTGCCAACAATGCGCGGTCCTGCGCCGCGTTGTGCCTTGCTGCCGAGCTCAAGTTCCGACTCAGTTATGAAACGGGACGAACCGAGAGGGTGCGAATCCAAAGAAAGACGGAACGCACCGAGCAAGGACGGACCGAAACGCGGCACACCGAGACACGACGAACTGAGACAGGACGAACCGAAGCAGTACCGACCGAGACGAGGTCCAAAATCACGCTTCGCCACCGTTCCAGCTGTCACGACCCCTCAGGAAAATTACGCTGCGTCCGCATTCCTAGAGCCACCCTTAACAATTCACACTGCGCCCGCGCTCCAAGGGCCCCGATCCCTCGTAGATTACACTGGAATCGCGCTCCCAGGGGCCCGACCCCTCGTAAATTACGCTGCGCCCGCACTCCAAGGGCCACGATTCCACGTAATTAACGCTGCGTCCGCGCTCACAAAGCCACGATCCCTTGCAAATTGCCCAGGGTCCGTGCTCCCACTGCCGCGATCCCTCGTACATTACACTGGGGTCGCGCTCCCAGGCCCCGACCCCTCGTAAATTACGCTGCGTCCGCGCTCCCAGGGCCACGATCCCAAGTAATTTACGCTGCGTCCGCGCTCACAAGGCCACGATCCCTTGCAAAGTATGCAAGGTCCGCGCTCCTACTGCCGCGATCCCATGTAAATTACACTGGGGTCGCGCTCCCAGGGCCACGATCCCTAGTAAATTACGCTGCGTCCGCGCTCCCAGGGCCCCGACCCCTTGTAAATTACATTGGGGTCGCGCTCCCAGGGCCCCGACCCCTCGTAAATCAGGATGCGTCCGAGCTCCCAGGGCCCCCATCCCTGGTATTTTACGCTGCGCCCGCGCTCCAAGGGCGATTTATAATACATTACATTGCGTCCGAGCTCCCAAGGCCCCGACCCCTCGCACATTACGCTGCGCCCGCGCTCCGAGGGCCACGATACCTCGCAAAGTACGCAAGGTCCGCGCTCCAAACGCCACGATCCCTCGTATATTACGCCGCTTCCGCGCTCCCAGGGCCTCCTGGGGCATGCTGGGGCGCCCAGGTCCCTCAAGTTTTGCAAAACAAGCCTTTCGCTAGAGACATCCTCGATTTTTGGGCGCGGGGGCGCACCATCCTCGAGCGGGCACGCAAAAACTCAACATGTTCACGCTCTCCGCGACGCGTTGGGCTTTACATCGTTTTTGATCAAGGAAAACGAGAATCCGCGGACCCCGTTATTTATCGAGGATCCGAGATGGGGGGTCGACTTTTCTCGAGCGGGCACGCGCGAAACGCACTTTCCGCGCCGAATTCTACTTCACTTCGTTTTTATAAAGGAAAACGGGAGTCCGCGGACCCTTTTATTTATCGAGGATCCGAGGTGGGGGGTCGACTTTCCTCGAGCGGGCACGCGCGAAACGCACTTGTTTCACGCCGAATTGGACTTTACCTTGTTGTTTATCGAACGGAAATTCGCTGGCCCTACAGAAGTTGGCACCTGGGGGAATGACCAACTAAAAGAGAATCCTGGGCCCCTGCCCTTTCCGGGAACATGATCGACCCACGAACCCGGAAAGGAATATAGAAATGTAAGACATGGCAACGTTTCAAAGACACCTGATTTGGCGACGGTGAGTGTATCGATCTTGATGTACCGTGCCGAGAGCTGTGCTGTACTGCGCCGTGCTGAATTGCGATGTGCCATGCCGCGATTGTGCTCTATAGCGTTGTGGATCGAGTCCTCCTTTGCATCCGAGTCCTGACCGATCTGATCTGGGTCGTAAGCTCGAGCTGCCTGAGCACATAGTAGTTGTCCCAGAGCTGATTGGCAAGGAGACATGCTAGGAAGACGCGCCGCGGAACGTCCCGAGGGACGCGCCAGGCGACGTGCCAGGGGACGTGCCATGGGGACGCACCGCGGGACGTGCCAAGGGAACGCGCTACGGAACGTGCCAATGGACGTGCCACGGGACGTGCCAGGAAACGCGCCGCGCGACGTGCCAGGGGGACTCGCCACGTGCCAGGGAACGTGACAAATTGCATTGCTGAGTGTATCGATCTTGATGTACCGTGCCGAAGGCTGTGCTGTGCTGCGCCGTGCTGAACTGCGATGTGCCATGCCGCGATTGTGCTCTATAGCGTTGTGGATCGAGTCCTCCTCTGCGTCCGAGTCCTGACCGAACTGATCTGGACCTTAAGCTCGAGCTGCCTGAGCACAGAGCAGCTGCCCCAGAGCTAATTGACAAGGGAACATGCCAGGAGGACGCGCCGCGGACCGTCCCAAGGGACGCGCCAGGCGACGTCCCAAGGAACGTGCCATGGGAACGCACTGCGGGATGTGCCAAGGGGACGCGCTACGGAACGTGCCATTGGAGAGGCACGGGATGCGCTCCCAGGGCCACGGTCCCTCGTAAATTACGCTGCGTCCGCGCTCTCAGGGCCACGATCCCTCATAAATTACATTGGAGTCGCGCTCCCAGGGCCCCGACTCCTTGTAAATTGCGCTGCGTCCGCGCTCCCAGGGCCACGATCCCTCGTAAATTATTCTGCGTCCGAGCCCCCAGAGCCCCGTCCCCTTGTAAATTACGCTGTGTCCGCGCTCCCCAGGCCACGATTCCTGGCAAATTACGCTGCGCCCGCGCTCCAAGGGCGATTTATAATAAATTACATTGCGTCCGAGCTCCCAAGGCCCCGACCCCTCGTAAATTACGCTGCGCCCGCGCTCCGAGGGCCACGATACCTTGCAAATTACGCGTGGTCCGCGCTCCAAACGCTACGATCCCTCGTAGATTACGCCGCGTCCGCGCTCCCAGGGCCTCCTGGGGCATGCTGGGGCGCCCAGGTCCCTCAAGTGTTGCAAAACAAGCCTTTCGCTAGAGATATCCTCGATTTTTTGGCGCGGGGGGCGCACCATCCTCGAGCGGGCACTCAAAAACTCAAGATTTTCATTACATCCGGGAAAAACGAGCGAATTAGTCGAAAGGTCCTCGAAATTCCTGCGCGCGGGACGCGGCACGCGCGAGACATCCTCGGAATTCCTGCGCGCGGGGCGCTTTTCCGTGCGCGGCTGGGGCCCCAGACCTTTTCTTTAGGATTCTGCTCAAAGTGCCCCGCACCTTTTTTTAACAAAGGAAAACGGAGGTCCGCGGACCCCGTTGAGGATCCGAGGTGGGGGGTCGACTTTTCCTCGAGCGGGCACGCGCGAAACGCACTTGTTCCACGCCGAATTGGGCTTCACCATGCTTTCATCGAGCGGAAATCTGCCGGCCCTCTCCCGGGTGGGAATATACAAGCCTATGGAAAGAGAACCGTGGGCCTGCACCCTTTCCGGGAAACGCGGGGGTAACGGGCCAAGGGCAGCGGCATCGGCACCTCCTCCTCCTCCTCCGACCGGCGGTGGCGGCCTGGAGCAGCCAGCAGCGGGCCGCCAGCTCGGGGCGGCTCGGTTGCCTGCAGCGCCACGGGCCGCGCCGGCACTGGGGTCGCGGCTCGGCCGCGCCAGGCTGCGCAAAGCGGCGCCGTGCAGGCGCCGGTCGGAGCAGGGCGAGCCGAGGCAGCTGGAGATCGACCCCTGGGCCCCCCAGGACGAAGCCAGGGCGAGGCCAGCCTCGCGCGAGGGTGCATCGAGGATCTCTGAGATCCAGCGGCTCTGGAGATTGTCTCGGGCGCCGCGGCCTCCTCAGAGCCCTCTGGTACGCTCTGAGAGCGTGCCGGGACGCTCTGGAACGGATGTGTCCTCGTCCTGGCCCCCAGCCCCGTCCGACGCGGCCCGCCCCTCCCAGGGTCCGAACGCACCAGTTTTCCGAGCTGCGTCCAGCCGCTTCGCCGACGGGGCCCCCCGAGGTCCAACTGCCACTGCCTCACCTGGCCCTCCTCTGGATCGGGCCGCCTCGGGTCGTACTGTGGCACTTTCGGAGACGAGGGCCCGGCTGGGTCGGGGTCGGGTCGGCCCGACGATCGGATCGAGTCGAGGTGGGCCCTGCGAGGGCTCGCCAGGAGTCCCACGAGGGGTATTTATCCATGCGCGGCCGAGAGCGTGGAAGCGGGAGCCAACGCGCAGGCGGACTCAGGCGGAAGCCCGACGAGAAAGAGAGAGAGCCTCGGGCACGTCCAGGGAGTGTCAGCACAAGGGAACTGAGGCATCAGCCGGCCTCCAAGGCGAGGCCGTCCTCGATCCAAAAACCACCCAACTTGGCGTCGAGGACAACCTCGCCGAAGGAGCGGGGCCTCAGATGCCCCTGACAGGCGGTCTTCAGGAGGGGGAGTGGGCCCAGATGCAGGGTTGAAGAGCAGGGGGAGAACCCCAGGATTCCGACGTCGTACCGCGTGGACTACTGGAGGTGTGGACACCACCCGGGGGACCAGTCTCTCCTCCCGAGTCGTGTTGTGTTCGATGGTGCAGGAGACCGCTGGTGAGGGTCCCCCAGGGGCCGAAAACGGCACAACACAACGTATGTAGCATTTCTGTTCACGACGCGAGGAGGCCTTGGGGAACCACAAAATACAGCTACCGCTGCTCCCCAGACCTCTCAAGCCAGGAGTTCTTTCCCGACCAGCACCTCGAGGCGAATCCAGCCGTGGCGACGAGGGTCAGCGTAGCGATACCAGTACATTGTTCCTCCTCTGAGAGAGGAGAGGGGAGGGAGAGAGGACGAGGGAGGGCGGTCCAGGAAGGGGAGGGGTAGGCAAGCAAGCAAGAAGACATACACATACACCCAGAGGTGCGCAGGACACGGATGTGGAAACATCGTGGACTCGTATCTCGCCGCGGGATAGGCCGGACGCGAGCCTGGGTGGAAAACCGACGAGCTGGAGAGAGGAAGGAGGCGAGGGGGGAGGAGGCGGGGGGAAGAGGAGAGAGGGGAGGCGAGGAGGAGAGGGGGAGGCGGATGGGGGGCGGGAGGAAGACGAGGGGAAAAGGGGAGAGGGGAAGAGCGGAAAAGGATGAGGAGGAAAAGGAGGAGGAAAAGGAGGAGGAGGAGGAGGAGGAAGAGGAGGAGGAGGAGGAGGAGGAGGAAAGGAGAGGAGGGGAGGAGGGGGAGGAGGAGGAAGAGGAGGAGGAGGGGGGAGGACGAGGAGGAGGAGGAGGAGGAGGAGGAGGAGGAGGAGGAGGAGGGCGGAGGAGGAGGAGGAGGAGGAGGGGAGGAGGAGGAGGGGGAGGAGGAGGAGGAGGAGGAGAAGGAGGAGGAGGAGGAGGGGGAGGCGAGGAGGAGGCTGAGGAGAGCGCGGCGTATGCAGGTCGAGGCTGCCGGCCTCCTCCCTCGGGGCCGACAGGCGGCGGCGGGCAGTCGCCTGGCGACGACCGCCTGTTCGTCCCAGGCCACGGAGGCGAGCCCAAAGTCCACCAGTTTCACCTGCCAGCAGCAGGAAGACAAAGCGCCCGGGCGGGAAGGCAGGAAGGGGGACGTGGGGGGGGACGGGATCGGCGCGGGGGGGTGCGGGTCAACAGCTCCAGCACCACAGGTGCACCCCTACGTTGCGCCCTGACGAACGCCTGTGCTCGTCGCCTTTACGGCTGACCTCACAAGCCTGGCGCGCCCCCATGCCGGGAGGGGGATACGGGATAGAGGAAGAACCAAACAGGCATGGACATCAACTTTCGGAGGTCCGCGCGGATTTCTTGGATCGGCGCTGGACCCCCCTGGCGGCGCCTCCGGCACAGCGCCTGGCGCGCTCCCTGCGCGCCAGGGGGGGGTCTCAACGCCGATCTAAGAAATCCGCGCGGACCCTGAAAGCTTATGCTCATGCCGTGGTGTTCCTATTCGAGGGAAGTAGGAGGGGAGGCAGGAGGAGGGGATGGGGAGGATGGAGGGGGGGAATCTTCTCACGCTCCTGCCCAGCTGTGGGAGCGGCCAGGCCAATTCCCGCTTGCTCGGCGGCCGCTTGCGGAGATGGGAGTGCGGGTCCAACTCTGGTTGAGGCGGGACTGGGGGGAGGAGAGTGCGTAGGATGAGGAGGAGGTTAATGAGGAGCAGGAGGAGGAGGAGGAGGAGGAGGAGGAGGAGGAGGAGGAGAGGGAGGAGCGGGAGGAAGAAAGGAGAGGAAGATAATTGTTTCAACATATGTCGTTTGTGCGTTACGGGTCTTTCGGGATTCGAAGGAGTCCTGGGGGGTCCAGATTGCTCAGCGGATATGATGATGATGAGGAGGAGCAGGAGCAGCATATTCCGAAGGAGAAGAAACGAGAAGAAGCAGGAACGAGCGAGAGGAGGAGAATGAAGACGAGGAGTGGATAGACATAATCATACATATCGTTGTATGTATATAAAAACAGAGAGAAACAAAGTGAGACAGAGAGAGAGAGAGCAAAACCGAAATGTACATGTGTGTACATCCGTATATGTATAAATGCAGAACGCGAGAGGGAGGGGGGATACCGATAGACCATGCTAACCCAAATCGTTACGCACTCACAAGTGTACGCCCGACGGATATTTCCAGGTCACCATGCTCCACTGTGCCTATCCATATGCCGTGCGGTCATAGGCATGTTGAACGGCTGAGTATGTGCAGAACCCGCGTCACTGCGTCACGCTGTCTGGACGGTCACAATCGCATACATGCTTGACGCCTGATACCTGGAGCAGATATGTATGCACATGTCCAACCATGACCCAGATCAGAGCCAACATCAAACGGTGTGGACCAGCAGAAACTACTGAAAACAATTCTGGCACCTGCGAGGCATGGGCAGCCTCACACAAAAACCAGACCCCGCGCGCACGCACGCGCCACTCGCGACGCTGCGACCCCGCCGCCGGCGCTCGGCGTGGAACGCCGCCGGCGACCCAGAATTGGTCGATGTGGCAAGGTTTGGCGTTTAGGAAACGGTCGCTCGGTCGAGGCTGCACGAATGCCGCTGCCTCGGGCGCCAGCGCCGGGGTCGTCGCGGCACGAGCCTGCCGCACGTCCGCAGACTTCTGCTGGCCTCTGTGGGGCGTGGTGTTAAAAGCTCCGCCGGGCTTGGCCGCCCCGCGCGCCCCCCCGCGGCCTCGCCGCGCAAGTGCGCCCTCCTTTCCCTCTTCCTGCCTCTGCGGCCGCCGCATCGGCCTTGCTCGGCGGCAGGCGAGGGGGTGAAATGAGAAGGAGGAGGCCTTCTCAGAAGGCGGCGGGACTTCTCAGAGCCCTCGCGCGTTCTCAGAAGGCTTCTGTGTCTTCGGGGAAGGCTTTCAAAACTCCTCAGACGGCCCGGGGACTTCCAAGCCTTCTGAGAAGGCCTTCTCTTCATCACTTCCGACTTTCCCCTCCCCTTGCATGCGGGCCATTCGCATCACCCGCAGCCCGGGCTGCCAGGACGCGCGAGCGGACTGCCGTTGCCGCGCTGCGACGTAAAAAGGGCCTGGACGCGAAGGCCGCGGATTCCAGAAGGCTCCAATGATCGGCGAGGGGGAGGAAAAGGAGGAGGAGAAGGAGGAGGAGGAGGAGGAGGAGGGAGGAGGAGGAGGAGGAGGGAGGAGGAGGAGGAGGAGGAGGAGGGGGAGAGAAGGAGCAGTTGTGAGGAAAGTCCTGGTGGTCCGAGGAGGAACAGGTGCACCGAGACCGCTGCCCCTCCTGGCCTTGCGCAGGATCCTGCAGGATCCTGCAAGACCTGGCGCTCTGGCTGACCCCCGTTTGCATTGACCCCCGTCTCAAGGCTCCCGATTTGAGCTTTGTCCCCCCTCTCCGGTCCCAACCACCGGAGGGGGCAGCAGGCCCCCCCCCCTCCTGCTTCGAACAGGGGGGGGGTTGCTTTGCCCCCCTACCTCGGGGATGGACAGAGCCCCCTTCGGTAAAACGTGGCAAAGTGAAGTCGACCTCGGGCCTCAACCTGGCGGGCGCAACCCTGGAAAACGGCGGCCGCGGCGCCCTCTCGAGAACCGAAACCGGACAATTCACCAATCGACGAATCAGGGTGGGGGTTCTGTCCATCCCCGACCTTGGCAGAGTTAACCCCCAGCTGCATGTCGGACTCGATCTTGTCCTTTCTGGACTGCAAAGTGTGGATAGTGATGGTGGAGCCTTGCCTGTCGGTTTCTGGACAAGGACTGGCGATGTCGGGCGCAGTGGCCATCTCCTCTTCCATCCTGGGCCCAGCCTCGTCACCACAGCTCTTCTTGATCGGTAGGAAAAGACCACTCCTGCGTTTAAGTCGGGCATGTCTCCCTACAGGGGGATTTTGTGCGAAAAATGCAAGATTGTCAAAAAATACTCCCCGAATAAGGAAAATAGACAAAAATCGTTCCCGAACTATGTCTGACTATGTTTGAATATTCCCCCTGTAGAGGGACAGGCCAGACTTGGCTCCGCAACCACGGAGAGCAGAAGAGGATGCAGGGGTAAAAGACACCGTGCCCGCCTGCGGGCGGCACGCAGACTACCCTTGGAAAAATTGCTCCCACTTGAACCAAGATGGAGGAGGGGAGGAAGGATCAGTGCCAAGGTGCTTGAGGAGGAGGCGTAAGACGAGGACAAGAGGAGGAGGCGTGAGACGAGGAGAGGAATGATAATAGAGGATAGTAGAGGAGGATAAGAGAGGAGGAGGCGTAAGACGAGGTGCGGAAGGCGGAAGGAGGATAATGGGGGAGGAGGCGTAAGACGAGGAGAATAATGATCAGTGTTAAGGTGCTTGACCGATTTTGCAATCCCTCTCTCCAAATGCCATGTCCATCAATCCCTCCAAAAAGCTTGGTTTCATTGCCGGAAGCGGTTTGTTGTTTTGGTAAACAACCGTCTGAGAATCGTCAATCGCGCCGAAATAATTTCTGGAACTTCAACGCCGCGGATTAACGTGACTGTTGCGTCCTCGCAACGTCAATACCGCGGTCCTGACACTCCTAAGTTGTGCCGGAACACCACTCATGGGTTCAGCTCTACGAGTCCTCAAAGCTGTCGCAAACTTTAAGAACGAATGCGCGCGGCGCTAAGACGAGAGCCACATTTTGAACAGGAACCGCCCTCAATCATTGAGCCTGCTGCAAACTCAAATAGAGAAAGCGCGCGGAGACGAGAGCCACATGCTGAAAAGGAACCGCCCCCCATCATTGAACTGGTTATGGATTTGTGATATGAATGCGCGCGGCGCTAAAGCGTGAAACTATAGCAAATGATACCAGAGAAAGACCCAAACATAATCTGTTTTAAGGCTGTACGGCTATAAGGCTATATGGGCTCTTGGGCGCTATATGGGCTATATGGCTATATGGCTATATGGGTTATAGGGCTATAGGGCTACAGGGCTATAGGGCGATAGGGATATAGGGCTATAAGGCGCGCTAAAGCGTGAAGTTATCGCAAATGATTCGGACGGGTGCGCGCGGCGCTTAGGCGAGAGCAGCATTTTGAAAACGGCCCGCCCTCGACACTTGACGCTGCTGCGAGCTAACAGCTGCAAGATCGGAAACGGTGAGGAGGCCTCAAGCGAAACGCCTGGCCTGCACTACCAACATGTCTGAGGAGCGACAGGGAGAACATATGTATAATGAAAGGGACAGAGGTGGAAGACGAGCAGGAGGAGGAGCAGCAGGAGGACCTGGAGGGCGAGGAGGGGAAAGAACTGAAACGCAGGAGGTGCCCCAGAGGAGACGGAACAGGAGGATGGAGCCATGTTTCTCTAGCAAGCCTTGGAGGTGGGGGGGTGGGGGGAGAGGTTCCCCTCCTTGCCTTCCTCTTCCGAGGAAGGGGTCGAGGTTCTCTTCCTCCTTCTCCTCCCCCTCCGCCACCTCCGTCCCCCCCCCTCACCATCGGAAAGCCAAAACTGGCACGGCTCCTTGCTGGGGGGGAGGGGAAGGACTCTTTTGGGGGAAGGGTCCGGCCGGTTTTTCCCCCAGGGCCGCTAGGCGACCGAGGAGGGTGATGGGGCGAGGAGGAGGAGGGAGGTCAAGGAAGGAGAGGAGGAAAGGAAGGAGGAGGTAAAGGAAGGAGGAGGAGGGAGGAGGAGGAGGGAGGAGGAGGAGAGGGAGGGACAGGAAGGAAGATGGGAGGAGGAGGAGGTAGGAAGGAGGAGGAGGGGTGGAGGAGGAGGAGGGAGGAGAGGAGGAGGAGGAGGCGTGCGGAAGGAGAGGAGGAGGAGAAGGGGATGAAGGAGAGAGGAGGAGGAGAGGAGGGAGTGGGGGACGGGTCGCCAAAGCCCTTCGGAGAAACCCTCCAGGGAAGGGGTGGGGAGAGGACGAGCGGCGAGGGAGAAGTGGAGCGAGGGATGCGAAGTGGAGAGGACGAGAAGTGGAGTGACGAGAAGTGGAGAGGAGAAGTGGAGGACGAGAAGTATCGAGAAGTGGAGGACGAGAGTGGAGGACGAGAAGTGGAGGACGAGTGGAGAGGACGAGAAGTGGAGCGAGGGATGCGACAGGCCTTTGCAGTCTCCGCAGCGCCAGAAGGGGCGCTGGTCGAACGGCACAGGGTCCGATGGATGGCGCTGCCATCGCGGAGGAATTCTCAGCAAGGCCACGTTGGGCACTATACTTCGATCTCGCACCCTCGCTTTCCTCCTCCTCATTCTCTTCCCCTCGCCTCCTCCTCCTCCTCCTCCTCCTCCTCCTCCTCCCCTTCCTCCTCCTCCTCCCACTCCCTCGCCTTCCTCCTCTCACGCATACCCTCCTTTCGTCCTCACACTGCTAGAAACTGAAGGAACTACGCAGTCTTATCTGTCGCCCAACTCTCCTCCCTCCTCCTCCTCCTCCGCATACCCCGCCTCCCCTCCTCCTCCTCCTCCTTTCACCCCCCTCCTCCACTCCTCCTCCTCCTCCTCTTGTCCTCCTGCTTCTCCTCTTTCCCCTTCTGCTTATCATTTCTCCTCCTCCTCCTCCTGCTCCTCCTCCTCCTCCTCCTGCTTCTCCTCCTCGTCCTCTTCCTCGCCCTCGCCCGCGTCGTCGGCACCCTCCGCCTCCGCTCCTCCCCACGGGCCCGCGCCAGCGTGGGGGCCCCCGGGCGGGAAGACGGCCGGCTCTCCGCGCGCCGCCCTGCTGCCAGGGGGGGGGGGGGGAGGAGGCGCTCCCAGCAGGCGCCGCGAGGGCGGAGCGCGCAGGAGGAGGAAGGGGAAGGGGAGGGGGAGGGGGGGGGGGGAGGAGGAGGTAGGTAGGTAAGACGCAGGCTGGGACGCTGGGTCGTGCTCTGTGTGTCTCGACGCGCGTGGGCGTGCTATGACTTTGCATAGGCTCTGGGGCCACACATGGGCCCCCAGAGTGTGAGGCTACTCTGGCAACAAGATGGCAGAGAAATTCCAGGGAGCGCGCCGTCTGCGCTTGATCTCCCTGGCGGCCTCTCTGTTGCGACGAATTCTCTCCAACTGCTCTGCAGTGAGCTGGGGGGGGGGGCGGAGGAGGGGCAGCTAGGGCGTCTGAGCAGGCGGCTGCCGCTGGCCGGCTCCTCACGTCCGTGGCGGCTTCGGCCGCCTCGATGACCGCGGCAGCCTGGGACGGGCGGTCCTCGGGGGCCCCGGGCGGGAGAAGCTCCAGAGGCTCGGGGGGGGCAGCGGAGGCGCCAGAGGAAGGGGAGGAGGCGGAGGCTTCGCTGGTCTCCCTGGGTGGAGCCCAACGCCAAGCTTCAGGGTTCACTCTGTGTTTTGTACCCTTCTTGCCGGCGTAGTCTGGGGCCTCCCAGAAGCACTCCTCGTCGGACCACGGTACAAAGAATTGTCGGATGCTGGAGTCGTTGTGATCCTGCGTGGGCTGTGGTAGCATGTCTGATGGCTCGTCCATTCCATTGTGATATGCGTCCATGATGCTGTCGTGCATGGCCTGTGCTATGGCCTTGCACATTGATGGTGGGTACGTCTTTTTGCTGCTCGTTTTGAATGTCCCGTCCTCGTGTTTGCCCTGCAGTACTGCATGGGCATTGGGGCCGTGGTTGCACCTGCCGTTGTTGTTGGCCTTCAGGAGGCCATACATGGTCGGTAGTCGGAGCGCCAGGATCCTGGTCGCGGCTTTTCCGTGTAGTCGTGGGTCCTCTGTTCTGTGGGTGCACTGGTCGAACTGGATGGTGCTGACCAGTGGGCAGCTTTCCAGCGCTCGGAGGGGCATCCAGTGAAAGCTTGAGGGCGCCTCGGGTCTCCAAGGCGCTGGTGGCGGGTGCTCCATCCAGCCGCTAGTGCATGCACGTACGTGCTCGGCCAAGAGCTGTGCTGTGGTGAAGAGTAACATGTTGCCTACTCTGAGTTGTTCACGCTGCGCCTGTGTGCACCACGGCACTCCCCACATGTGGCTGTGAGTGCGTAGGGGTGGGGGCCCGTCAGGGTTCCAGCGAGCTGTGCTCCAGGTCTCACATGGCGGTCCTCCGCCTGTGACCCATACGCGGTGGCTTCGGATGTGCTCCGTCCACTCGGCGATGGTGGAGGCACGCGCAAGGTCCCCAAGCATATGGTGTATAGCAATATCCAGGGAAAGCACTGTGATAGTTAGCTCCACTCCATGTGTCATGGCATCGATGTGATATTGTATGTCGCCGTGTCGTCGCCTCCCACAAAATAGATTAAGTATAAAGACCTCCGCACGCGTAATACGGTATGGGAGCGGAGTGACGGCGAGGCCCGTAAAGTCGTTGGGACGGAAGATGTAGTATCGGTCTTCATA